GGTACTACATGTGAATCTCTCTCAGATTTGTTCATTTGTAATGATATCTTTAATTCTCTAATTTTGGTGAATATTTTTGTCATTTTTGGTAAAAAGTGACATTTTCGACTTCTTGTTAAAAACCACAAGTCCAATTGCCTAGATATTACATATATAGGTACTACATGTGGACCACTTTCAAATTTGTTCATTTCATGATTATATCTTTAATTTTCTAATTTTGGTGAATATTTTTGGTAAAAAGTGATATTTTCGACTTCTTGTTAAAAACCGCAAGTCCAATTGCTTTGATATTACATATATAGATACTACATATGGACCACTCTCAAATTAGTTCATTTCATGATGATATCTTCAATTCTCTAATTTTGATGAATATTTTTGTCATTTTTGGTAAAAAGTGATATTTTCTTCTTGTTAAAAACCACAATCATTTATGATGAAAAATGATATTTTTGAATTCTTGTTGAAAACAGCAAGTCCCATTGCATTGATACTATACATATTGTTCATTTTCTAATGATATCTTCTGTTCTTTAATTGAAATGTGCATTGCTAACAGCGCAGCTATCTCGGCCGAGAGGCTGCTTGTTTATTTTCCAAGCAATGACTGTGTTTCCTCCAATAATTTTCCTAATTGCTTTTGAACTTTGCAAATTTGTAAGGTACACTCTACCATATATACACCTTAAAATGTTAAGATTGTGGATGGGTAGTTGGAAATTAAAGTGCGGTAGTCGTCATGCCACGCATGCGCAAGATATATGGGTCTCTTATTATAGACTTATTTGACTGTTGCGCAGATCATCAAGTACAAACCAAGCTTTGATTAGGTATTTTTTAGGTGATTGGAAGGTATCAAAGGAGTCACCGGCAGTAATTAGTGCAAGTCGCACCCAGGTCAAACCTCATACCTGTTATTTCCATAAGAAGAGTGCATTGGATTGTGGGAAAATCAATGTTTGTCAACACAAATGTTGCACATGTGCAGTGTGACTGCTGTCTCCCTTTAACCACATTATATGAAATTAAGTGAGCCTCTTATTTGTAAACAATCACTGAGTTAGGGGGCTTTGTTTGTTCTTAAAAGTAAAGTACTCTCAAAATCCCATTTTCTGGGAATGTTAACGCAGGATATCCAATTTTAATATATCATTTTTTTTTTCTAAACCACTATCATTTAAAAACTGGCTCTGACTGACTGGTTCTGGCAGTGACATTTTACATATTTGAACATTGGAATGCAAATTTAAGCTAATTAAAATGCATGGTAAAATGGTTACTGTTTCAGGTCATTAGGCATGTCATGGTTTTTTGTAAAAATTTTAGAAACGAAAATCAATTTTTGTTTCATAAAAAATCATAATAAAAGCAGACTTAGATTTAAAAAATAAAAATGTCACACATTATTTTTTGAAAATTTATCATTGGTTTCATTTATTCATAGCATAATATGAAGATAGTTTGTGGATCAAGAGCTCACCTCCAAGAGGAAGCTGTTGCTAAGGTAACAAGTATACGAGTGAACAGTATCTTTTACATCGGTGATGTTTTGCCTACATATGAAAATTGGTGCTTACAAGTCTTAGTAGGGGATTTGGATTATAACACGATCTAAATCCAACGTTAAGCCTATAAACGTTCCATTGTTTTTAGTGCCAAACCCCTTTGTTAAGTACAACAACAAATATTTCATTGGTGTTTGTGAGCTCTTGTGTGATTGGTCAATGCATGGACAGCTCTTCCACTTCCGTGTTTTACTCCCTATCAATTTGGGCCCTGTTTAACCATAGACAGTATAGTAGTATAGTAACACCAATGTCAAACGCAGAATGCCCAACGTAAGCTGGGCTGGAATATTATGATGAGCAAGTAAACAATGACGTCGTATTTACTTCCATACGATGTCACTAATTAATTAATTGAATAAAATTAAAAGTTAGTTTCAGACGGCAGTAATGTTTCCGTACATGTTATATTCAGTCTGTACCCCATTTTCGACAAAATATTTGAATATTTTTGTTTTCATGGTGCACGAATCTTATTATGTTATTGTTTACCGACTATGCTCGTTTTTATTTTT